TTAAGGGACTTGCCCAATTTCTTGTAAGATAAAGAGTGAAGTCAGGATTTGAATTCAGTGAGTTTTTCTGGCTCCAAAATCCATGTTCTTTCTGTCACAATGCAGTAAACTAAAGGAACAAGTACTGGGTTGGCCAAAAAGAGGCAGGAGGGGAGGGTTGGTTGACATTTCCCCCACCACACATTCTCAACCTTACCTTATTGAACCTTATTGTTTCCATATGAGACATTTCCATTGCTACAGATTCTAAGTCAAAGTCCAAGATTAAGAGGTGAAATCCTGCTGAACAGACTCTCCTTGGAGTCGTGTCCAGTCCTGGGCCACATCTTTGGAGGCTCATCCATAAGAGCAGCCAGATTGTTCAGAGTTCTCATGCATGGGGAGCTAAGATACGGGTGCCTCGGTGCTTTACACACAGCATCTACACAACCTGACACAATCCTAGGAGGCAGACATTACTATTTATTTGCATTGCCAAAAGGAGAAAATGAAAATTAAGACAAGTAACGAACTTGTTCAAGGTCACAGACTAGTAAGTAGCAAAATCAAAATTTGAACATAGAGTTATCTAATTTCAGGGTCCCACTCTTTGCCATGTAGCCTTCCTCATGTGAGACATGGTAGAATAAAATTGAGCTATTTAGAGAAGAGCGATGATAGCCCCTTCCTCTCCACAAAGGACCACGAGTAGAAAAAATCTGCCTGATTTTCGAGAGAAAATATGAATTAATTTGGCCATTTTAGGGAAGTAGGCTTTTATGTCAACAGAAGAACACTTTAGTGATAGCAATAACTAGATGAACTCTTGGGTAGAAGGATGATTATCACATCTGGGGGCGGTTTGAGCATGGGCTGGAAGGACAGTGTTACTGTGAGGAAGGTATCTGGGTGGAGACCCTGAGGTTTCATGAGCTTATGGAGCTGCCTGGTCTGTCTCTTCAAAAGAAGTGATGAAAATATCTGTTGCTGTGTCTATTCATAGACATAAAAGCACAAATCTTATGCCTAAGGTAAACAGACTGGTCCATGAGAAAGCTAAACACAGAATGAAATGGATTCTGCTGGAAATGCTTGCTGGTTTTTAATAAGTTTTTTTTTTTTCTATAAAGAAGGAACCAAACACTGGAGAGATGTGTAGTCTTGATAAAAATCAAAAGAAATATAAGGAGGTACTTTTTTTTAATGAATTAAATTGGAAAAATAGTTTAAGAAGTGGTTACACCCATCAAATGTATAAAGAATAAAAAAAAAATCATTCCTTTTGATTGAGGCAAAACCACCCTAAGAAAACAGGAAAAATCTGTACAATACAAACATCTCCATCTGAGTTTTAAACAATATAAAAATCCAAGGAGAGGCAAATAGGCCAGTTAGGCAACAGGGGTGGGGACAGAGGTGGTGAGGGGAGCCAGAAGCCCAAGAGAACTTGGTAGACATGCACAGGGAAGCCCCCAGGTCTCAAGAACTGTGGAATAATCACAAGACCTCTAGAGAGCCAAAGGTGGGTTTGAAAGCCAAGGTCACTGCCAGTAGGTGGGAGACAGGATGGGTGCCCACTCAAGGAAGGAATGAGCAGGTGTAGGGAGAGAAGAAGAATCCTAGCCTTAACACTGATGGCAATGTATTCCTTCTCACTGAGGCACTGTAGTCATAATCTCAGATCTCCTAACAGCCCCTCGGTCAGACATTATTTCTCCACTTTGCAGATAAAGTCCTATGTTAAAAAAGACGAAGTAACTTGCCTCAAGTGAGTAGCAGGGGCTATAGCTGGGAAGGGAACTCAAATGCATTTTTCCCCAGCTCAGCTCACTTGCACTGTGCTTCATGAGTGTGTGGTGGGGCCCTCTGGGGACTGGTAGATCTGTGTATTGGCCCCACTTTAAATGCTTGGGCAGCTGACCAGATGGTTTACTCAGTCGCACGCAGCTTCCTGCCTATCCACTTTGTGGATGTTAGTTAGAATTGACGATGCTGAAGGTCACAGAACAACATGGGGACATGTTAAATGAGCAAGGAAGAGTACAAATCTAATAATATGAAGGATCACGGACATGTAAAACACATATTTATACCCTTGAAAAGAGACTAGAGGAGACAGATACATCACAACACTTTTAGCCGTGCAATTTAGAGGGTTTTTCTTATTTTTCCAAAGATTTCTATAAAGTGGTTCTTATTTATTTACAATTACAAAAAGGTCATCACTTAGAAATGCATACAAAAACCCACCAGGAACATAATGGTCACCAACACACAAAATAAAATCAAGCCTCATCTTTTTGTTCCAACTGGTGACAGAGAACTTGTTGTTAGGGCTTTTGAAGGTGGCACCTGGCCCTTGTCAAATCAGGTTCTGCCAGTTCAGTATCTACCACCCTGTCCTGCACAACTCACTGGCCTGTTGCGGGAACCAAAAGAATCCAAGTGTGAGAGTGAGGGGAAAAAATCAGTGGAGTCTAGGCAGAAAGTCACCATCCCTCCTACTAAAATTTGGTGAGCATGAAGAATGATTCCAAGCAAGATTTTAGGGGAGGTCCACAGTTATTAAAGAAGAAATTTATTTTCAATTCAAATATCCTCAGGTACTTTCAAAGGACCATAAGAGTTTTTGTTCATTTTGCTTTTTGTTTTTGGTTATTGTTTACTTAGAAAATCCTCTTATTCCTTCACTGATGCAGATCTAATGAGTTCTCAACTAGCATTTTAAAAAAGTGGTGCTTGTGTTAAAATATGTGTTCCCAGTCTTATCCCAGATCTATTGAATCTGGCTCTCCAGGCCCAAGCCCAGTAATTTTAAGCACCTCATCAAATTCTTAAGATTGGGCTGGGCTGGTAAAAACTGCTACACAAAACTGTTTTGAGTTTCATGTGTTTGAAGGTAATAAATGCTATAAATGATACTATTATTGCCAATCCCTCCAAATGGCCTGAATAAATGAGACCTATTATCATTATTGATTACCATTGACTACTTAGGTCACACTAAACACACTCTAAGAGTACATGGCTAGTCTCTCAGCCAGACCCTAACTTTCCCCTCAGTTTTCAGAGATGATGTAAAAGGATAGGTTTTCCACAGACCTGGATTTGGATCCAGCTCAATCACTGAGAGCTCCAGGACCTTAGGTGAGATATCATTTTACTTTTCCTGAGTTCATTTCTTCATCTGCATGAGTTTAAGAATGAAGCTCTTGTCCTCATATCACAATGATAGGCAGCAGGCACAGGACAGGTGTGCAAAACCATCTCAGTCTAGCAAGTGACTGAAATCTCCTGATTCCCATCAGAATTGCCTCATAAGCAGGTTTTCTTGTTGCACCCACTTCTGATTTTATGCTACCTTATATGCTAAGAATAACTGACACCTGTATGTCTTTGTAATTCACAGAGTTCTCTTCCCTGATACTATCTGCACTAGTCTTCACAACCTCAAGTTAAGGATTATGATCAAAGGTCAAGTGAACTGCCTCAAAATGGTCAAGTAAGGGCTTGCACTCAGATCCCACAGTCTTTCACGGGTCTGATCTTTCCTAACAGATGCATTACACAAAACACTTTCACACTCATGGCATTTGTATTGTGGATTTTTCCATGACTTTTTCCCCCAACTAACCTAAACACACTTAGAAAGCAGGTTCTATATCATATTAGTCTTCAAAGAGAAAGCAGAGAGCCTCTGGGTGTTTCTATTTTCATCATGCTTAGGGAGAAAAGGGGCTGAGTTCAACAATGATGCATAGTTTTTTCCAGTTGCTCATGCCTTCTATGCTATTCATGCCCAAGCTGTGCCATGCCATAGATTGAATATATATTCACAAGAATTTACGGAACACCTCCCAATAAGTGTCAAGACGTTTACTTACCTCATGAAGTGAATTACCCTATGTTATGCACTGGTTCACAACCTATTGTTATTATCCTTCCTGTTATTGATATAGCCCACAGGGTAGGCATTGTTATCCTCATTATACTGATAAAGATGCTGAGAAATTAATTGGCCCAATCTACATTGATAGTTTGAAGAAAGTTAGGAAAATATCATTAGAGGAAATTCTCTTCTTTACGTCCTAATAGTGAGCATATAGTAGTTCATATTGCAAAGATTTATTTAATTATTGAAATAAAGGGTTTTAAAGTGGCAGCTACTTCCCCTACTTTCCCCAGTGACCTGAGCTTTTGCTTACAGACCACCAATTAAGAGATGAGCCATTAGAAAAATTAGAGGCCAAAGTTTTCCAACCAATGACTAAAAACCAACAATCAGCCATGAGGAAGACAACTGTCAATATTTATTAAGCACTGTATATATGTTATCTCTAATCCTTGCAGTGACTCTGAAAGGTAGGAATGAGCTTCTTTTTATGGAATAGAAAACAGAAACACAAGAGAGGTTCGGTTAAGTCCAAAGCAAGCAGGGTGAGACGAGGTTTGGAAACTAGAAGCGTCTGTCCAAAGCTCTTGCCCTTTCCAAAATACCATGCTTATTTCAGAAGGCATTACAGAAAGGAAAGTGCAAATCAACAGGAAGAACGAGTGTGGTTTGCCAAAAGGTGTGCCAGACACCTTAGAGACTCAGTGACTGAATAAAGAATGAGGTAAAAATTATGTAACTTGAAAGATCATTTGAGATGGAAGATAGGATGAACAAACTGGTATCAGGTGACATTGCCCCTACTTCCTGAAGCAACCCTGCACCACATCTAACACTGTCACCCCTTATACCCCATCTTTGCCAAGATTGGTGTAAATTATCAGGGACGCCCATCAGCTTGAGAGAAGTGATTGGTCCAAGGTCAGGCTTTTGAAATCAGAGAAAGTAATCTGTTTTGGAGACAGCCCTTCAGAGCCACCGACAGTAACCACATCCCTTATGAGTTTTCTCTCCTTCACACTGAAGGTTTCCCCTCTGAAAGAAAGAATATTCCAGGCCATAAGACACACAAGTCACCTAACTATACACTCAATATTCTAAAAAAATGAGGATAATGATAGTCTACACCAAGAATTAATGAAGTTTTATTATAGAACAAAATAGAGGAACAGAGACAGAAGTCCTTGGGTGGTAAAAATATCAGTTCAAATCCCAGTCAAGGGATAGGCAGCTCAGAGACGCTCTCCTGCGCTCTGGACACAGTGCTTTCCCATCCCCACGACCACACTGTCGGCGCCTGGGCTGCTGCCCAAGTCTCAGCAAATCCCTCTGCCTTCTTTTGAGTAGGAAGTCCAAGTGAAGAACAAACCGCTGACCCCAGAACCCTATGGGCTCCCTGCCTGCATACCAGCATGCGCTCTGGAGTCTGACTCAGACGGCACCATGTCCGCAAAGCACACGCTGCGCAAGAAAAACGCGAAGGCTTTATGAAAAATCCAAAGTTTATTGCAAATTGTATTTTGCTTCCCTTCGTTCTTCATTTTTACAAGATTTATTAATATCCATGATTTTTTCACAGATGTACTTGTTGACTTTGGAGAGTCTCTGTGCAATTTCAGTTTCATCCACAGTTTCTTGTGCTATTCTGTCATACAAACACTCTAGACAGAGAGAAGAAACAAGAAGGCCAAGGATTAATGGTGAATTCAAAAACAAATCTTTTTTTTTTTTTGGGGGGGTGGGGGGTGCCTCCTGACATACTTCCCAAATACAAACTCTTGCAAATTTGTAGCATAAAATGTACTTAGAAAAGAGGGGAATAGATGGTAAACCTATACTTTTAAAATAATGGTAAAATACCTATGTGCCACCATCTAGCTTGACAGAATATTATTGGTCCTTTTGAAACCTCTGGATGTCCCTCCCAACCCTCTCCTCTCCTTTCCCTCACAGAGGCAAACATACTCCTGAATTTCTGCTTTTCTTTTCTTTTGGTGTTAACATATTGGTATGTATTCTTAAATAACATATTATTTTTTTAAATAAATGTGCCCATCTCTATATGCTTTTTTGACTTTTTTTTTTTTTAGTACACAGTGTTACAGTTGTGAGAGTCACTCATGTTGGAAAATACGTCTGTGGATCATTCATTGCCCCTGATGAATGGTGTTCTATTATATGACTGTATCACATATTGTTTATCCATTTTATTGACTATGGATACTTGGCTTCCCAATTACCAATACCCTTGCATATGTCTTAGGGGCATACACGCAAGTATCGGCCAGGGCATGGAATTGCTGAAAGCTGGGGTGTGTGCATACTCATTTTTGCTGGGTGATGCCTGATAAAACTGTTTTCCAAAGCATTTGGGCTGACTAGCATTCTGAATAGTGATATATGCAAGTACTAGTTCCCCCATATCTTTAACAGCACTTGGCAGTGTCACATTACTAAGGTTTTGAAAACCTGGTAGGTGTGAAGTGGGGTCTCTTTGTGGTGACTATCAGGGAGGCTAAGGATGGCTGTTCTCTTGCTGAGTCTGTCATTTGCTATGATGAAGCAAAGAGTCAGCTCTAGACAAGGCCTGACTCAAGACTGAGTTGCAGCTGGTCCCTAGACTGCTCACCTCATAAACAAGGATGACAAACACAGAACATCTTTCTTAAGAATGCCAAGAGGTATTCAGGGTAAACATTTTATAAGCCTTTTTCAAACTGTAAGAAATTCTACACCTGCATGGGTTGTTCTAATTATTTTATGTATATGTAATTATTAATTCTAAGAGAGCAAAGCAAGATTTAAAAAAAATATGTGTTGAATGAATAAAGAAATGCTTTTTCAGGGAAACCTAAGAGGACATAAAAGGACTGAGGTGTGGGTGGAGTGTGTAATCATGGGCAAAATCCTTAAGTTCTCTGAGTTTGAGTTTCCTCACCTATAAAATAGGAATGACATTTCAATCTTAAGGAACTGAAATGGAGAATAAGCAAAATCTTGTCTTTACCAAGCCAGCTCAGAGCAGACAGGACACAAGAGTGTTAACAAGAGGAAGGATCCCAGATACTAACTTGTGCGAATCCCTTCACACAAGAGAAGGCTGAGGCCTGTAGAAAGGGAATTGTACAGGGCAGAAGCTTTGCTGCCTCCCCATACTCTGTCTTTTTTGGGCTTGGAGCTATCCTGCCTCCTGCTGCCATCCAGGCTGCAGGTGCATGTGCTATGAGCCATCTTTCTCTGGACCACTCTTTCCTCCCCACTGAGAAGGGTTTTGCACAGTGGTGCCTTTAAAAGCTCTGAATTGACTTCCACTGCTTCCTGACTACTCCTGATCTTCAGTTCATCTTGTCTTGGCTTTTCCATAAGGACTAAGAAGTGAGAAGGTACAGGGCTGTCTCTCGCCTACCCCATTTCTGCTATATCCACCTTCAGTTTCCTTTCTAGTCCAAGCTATTCACAAATCGGTGTCCTTGCTCATCTCTGCCCAGAAGACCCTTGCTCTGCTCTTTGCCTAAGACTTATACTTTCTTCCAGATGCAGCCTTCTAGGAACCTATCACACTCAGTTAGGAAACCTCACTGTACCTTCAACACAGTGCTCCCAAACCTGTTCTGGGTTTTCTGTGGAAAACCTAATCATGATCTAATCAAACCATGACCACATTTGGCACTGCCTCTCCAGCCCTGGGCCAGGAATAAACATACACTCATGGTGAGCTTGCTGGGACCTGAATCAAATGAGAGAGAGAATGTGCTGAGAGATTCAGGTGCTCAGTCTTGGCTCCAACCCTGGATGCTCTAACCTCGAGGGGCAAATTCTCTGGATCTCAGTCTCACCATCCATGAAACTGGGATGTCAAACTAGATAACCTCAGGAGATTCTTCTCACTCTCTCAAGTTGCCTGTAAAGTCATAAGGGCAGAAGTGAGAAGCAGAAGGCAGGAGAGTGAGTGCGATGGCCCTCCGAGCCACTGGCAGGAGTCAGAGAAAAGACGGAAAGAGGAGGATGAAAATGAAGGAAAGTTCTCAGGGGGGCCCCTACAGAATTCCAATCATTCTCATTTCCTGGGGGTAGCTGCCCTGCACAGCCCCTAAGGTTGATTAAAAGGCTTTTGTTAGATTCTAGTTATTAATCACCTGCAGTTGCCGGGAATGTCTCCCTCTGCGAGAGAGCATTTGAGATTATTGCTTAATTAACAAGGTTTATAACAGTGCTAATGTGTCCTATTAAAAAAGTTATAAAAATTAACCAGAACACAATGCTATGGCTCATTTAGAAAACTCAGACACTCTGCAAAAGGTCATTCGACCTTAATAAGGTTTAACTGTCATTCTGGAGCTTGCCATGAGAGTCAGACTCTACTCCAGCCCCCCTGCTTTCATCTTTCTAAGACAGAGTCATTGTTCCTCCATCCTTCTGCCATCCGGTAAGGAATGATTTTTAACATCAAAGAGAAGAGGAAATCCCCACCAACCCTGTGAGTGTAAAGGCTTTGGCCATTTTTACATGGCAAATGTGACTAAATGCGATAAAATTGTACAAAATAAATACAAACTATCTGAAACCAGTTTAGACAGCTTTCATGGAAAGAACCAGTCAAATACAATCTGGAATAGCTCAAATAATTAAGCTAAAAATTGTGATCATATGGTAGATGGGACAAAAACTTCAAACTAGTCAGGTTGTAGTAAAAAAAAAAAATCAGTAGTATATTTCAGAATGACAAGAAACCTCTGAGCCTGAAACCCCAACTCAGCTCAGCTCTGACTCTGATCAGGTATATGGCCCTGGGCAAGTGGGCAAGGCTCTAAGGGATTATAGACAAGCTCCAAGGAGGCAAAGAAGAAGGGGAGAGAACTGGGTAGGTACTGTGTGCTCCTGGACACAGGAAGAAAGACGACAGCACCTTCAGAAGTCAGGGACAGCCTCCTGGGGGAAGGTTCACATGAGCAGATCTGGAGGTCTGGATGGTGAGTTGTCGCAAGCTGGGCAAAGCCTGGTGGTGCAGGGGGCATAGTGTGACTGTGTTCCAGGAACAAGGAATAGCACTTCCCCAAGGTGAGAGGGAACAGGGCTTGTTCAAGGAACACATTCTGGTAATAACTTAAGAGTTTCAAGGGTGATATAGCTAAGAAATAAAGTTGGAGATACAGCCCAGGGCCAGACTGTGAAGGTGCTTCTATGATGTGTTAAGAAGCTTACCCTTTAATAGGGTATGTCAAGGCAGTGATGAAGGGATCATATCTGGTTTCTGAAATATCACTCTGGTGACACAATGGGGAGAGGACTCTGGAAGCCGCTAAAGAAGTGCAGGGGAGGCAGCACGTGTCCTGGACTACGAGGAGACGGTGGGTATAGGGAGAAGGTTTAAGAGTTATTTAAGGGGAAGGGCAGATGGGGAAGGATACACATTAAAGATGCAAGGGTGAGGCCTGGGTCCCTGGCTGGCAGTACCATCCACAAAGACAGGGAACACAGAAGGGGCAGAAGGTTTCATGGAAGGGAAAAAAAGGTAGTGAAGGAGGAGAGAACAGTGAGTGGTGCAGTTTGGCCAATGTCATGTCAAAAGGAGACCACTGGGCACCTGGATATGTGGGTCATTAAGGCACAAGTGAGAACTGAGATCAAATTTAGACTTGGGAATCATCATTCATTGATCCAGCAAATGTTTGCTAAGTAGCTACTATATGCTAGCCCTGAACAGGATGCTCATGAGTCTTAGATTTTAATGGAGGTAGAGAATAAAGAGAAGTGTTAAGTAAACAAGTAAATAAGAAAGGCCATGCAGAGCCTTTACGCAGGATGGTGCAACAGAAAGCAATGGAGAGGCCTCTCTAGGTGAAGAGGAGACAGGGTGTGCAGGTCAGGAGGAAGGGCAGCATGAGCAGCAGGAACAGAAGAAGCTGTGGTTACTGCATGGTGGAAGGTGTGGTTTGAGAGGAGAGCAGCGGGGTCACCAGAGGCCAGATGAGCAGGTACGGGGCAGGAGTGCAACTTCCAACTGAGGGCTGTGGGACCCATGGGAAGTGAGGAGACAGAGGAGGAAAGCATGCAGGTAGAGGGCACAGGAAGAGAAGGCAGCCTGAGAGGCTGAGAAGCCTGAGGGGGAGGAACCCTGAGCATGCATGCAGGGCAGGCTTCTGAGAGGAGGATGGTGGTCTGTCACATAATGCTGGGGAGAAGGTGAGAATCGGCTCTGGATTCAGAGCCTAGGATTTGGTAATGAGGAAGTCCTTTTCCAGTGACTGCTGAGCATGGATCAGGTAGACAGCTGGGAGTGGAAGGCAAATGCCAGGGGCTTTCTCTTGAATACAGAGAGTGAGTGTAGACGCGGCTTTCAAGAAGTCTAGATGCAGAGGAAGAGTCGCAGCAGCAGCTGGGTGAGGAAAGTGGTCTCTGCGTGGTTTGCTTTTGTGAGAAACATAAGCCAGCTGGGAAGGAGCCAGGAGAGTGAGAGCATAATTGGAGAAAGAGGTATTAGGAAGGCAGGTGGACTGGGCCATAGAGCCCAGCTGGGGAAAATCACCAGCCCTAAAGAAGACGAGGAAACTCTTTTTTTCTGGGATGTGAGGCAGAAGAATGGGGAGGATGCAGTTAGGTGTGTAGGTGTAGTTGTTTGAAGTTGTGGAAATTCCTTTTACCTTTTTCTATGAAGGAAAAGACAAGGACATCTTTTAAGAGACAAGTGTGGAATCATGTTTAGAAAAAGCAGAGAAGATTAAAGAGGGTTTGGAAAATAGGGGTGTGAATCAGACAGGGAAACTCAGAGAACTTGGCAGTGAGCTGTAATGGCCCCAAGCGACAGAGCTGAGGTGTGTTTTACTGCTCCAATCCTACACAGCGCTGACCTATTTAGAAGTAAGTTTGTAGCTGAGGAAACAAACGTGGAGGGAAAGTGATTTACAAAAAATCACACCAAGGGCTGGTCAGGTATCAGTTTGCAGTCTCGTGTTTCTTTTGTTGAAACCTCATTTACTGAGTGCCAGTTACCGTGATGGGCAGTGAAGACATGGGGAATCATATAGGGTCCCAGGTCCCTAAGACAGACACATAGCAGATGATTTTATACAACAACATGACAGCAGTAGGGACAGTCACTTATCCAAAGGCACCTGGGACCTGCTGAGTCACATTCCAACAAGTATAGCAGAACTAGAGATCAGTCACCTATCAAGAGAGGCTGGGCTGCCTCCTCAGGAAGGTTGTTTGCTTGGGGCGACCTCTTAAATCAGGTTTCACCATTTCAGACAGCAGCCAGACTAAAGGTTATCCCTGATTATCTAAAAATGAGTGGCTGCCTAAATCAATTAATCATGAGCCAGCTGGGCAGGGGAGGCAGCTGTGTAACAGCAGAAAGGCCCCAGACAAGAAGCAGGATGTGAGCAGGATGTGGGGGTTGAAAACTGGACTCTGAAGCCTTGCAGCTGTGATCTCGGCTGGTGATCATTTAATCTGTGTCCTGCCATCTCCACCTTCAGAATATACCTACATCTGGCTGTTCTTCTCTACTTCCACAACTATTCCCCTGGGTCTGTGAAGTACAGCCTCTGCTCCAGAGCGCCATGCCAGTCTTCTTACTGATCTCCCTGTGACTCTCAATTTGAAGACCTCCAGTGTCACCACTGTAGTGGAGTAAACCTAAGCTGCTTAGTGTGGCCTTTATAGCCCTACGAAACTGGCTCTGGGCCATCTAGGACCTCCCTCTAGACTGCCCAGCCACTTCACCCCTTGAGCTTGCTCACTCCTGTGCCTATCATCTTTGCACCTGCTATTTATTCTCCACTCCCCAGACCTTCATAGGGCCACCTCTTCCACAGCCAACTCTCATCTTCAATACTGCCTCTTCTCTTCCCTCCACCACCCCAGATGATGCAGCCCTCTGGTCCTATCACATCAGCGAAGCTCCAAGTACCTGAAACTGTCTGATGTGTTCATGGGCATGTTTGCTGCCTGCCCCTAGCTAATATGCAGGGCCTGCTTGACATGCATGTGCTGTTTGATTCTCTTCAGCAAAACTCAGCAGACCTAGTTACTTGCAGAAGAGAGACTAGGAGTGCAGATGCTGAAGCCAGCCCTGCTGCCCTGGACTCTGGCTTCTCCTGCTAGCTGTATGACCTGGGCAGGTTATTTAACACCACTGTGTCTCAGTTTCCTTACCTACAAAACAGGGATAATAATGGTGGCCAACAGTATGATTGTTAAGAGGATGATGGGGTATTAAGTTAATATATATATAAGTGTTTTCTTTAAAGACAGAATCATTAAAAGAAAAAAAATCATATAAAACATAGTAAGTGCTCAAAATAATTAGCAGTTACTATATTCTCTCTGCCCTATTTCACTGTCTCTGTGCTTCATATTATCTTTACAGTACCCAGCTGTTCATCTTCAATACCAGACTGTGGGCCCCTTTTAGATGCACTGTGTTCTGCTCTTCTTTGTGCCATCAAAACCCAGTAGAGGGGCTGGCAAAGAATAGGAGCTTAGTAAAAGAATGGAGAGAGGGTGGGAGAGAGGGAAGAAAAAAAGAAGAAAGTGGAAAGAGAGAGGAGGAACGAAGGCAGGAACCTTCATAGAATTCTCCCTGGCTTTCCAGCTAAGGTCCTCCTCCTTTCCTGAGAACTCTCAGGATGCTGTCTCTACCTCCTTGAATTGTACTTGTCTGCAGTCATTTTCCCTATTCAATGTGACTTTTGGAGGGACACTGGGGATATCTGTTCTGTGTCCCTGGGCTCTGCCCAAAGCCTGGCACACAGGGGCTCTGAGAAGCATTGGTTGAATTGAATTGTGCCTAATATATTCCTGACAGGGTGAAGGACCACATCTCAGCTTGCGTTTGCCCTCAGTGACTACCTCTGACGATGCTTAGTTTGTGAGGCGAGAGGGGTGGCTTCGGGACTGCATCCTTCTTTTTTTTTGTGGCGACTCCTGTGACGCTTCTGTTTTTCAGAACATCTGTTCCCCAAATCATGACTGCCAAGTTCTTCGTGTACTTGGAATCTCCTTGGGTTACTTGTAGCTGGTGCCATTTCTCCTCATCAACCCAAATCCCGCTTCCCAGATGGACCTGAAAGGGATAAGAACACCACACCTGTTAGTGCGACAGGAGGGCGGCTGGAGGATGCCTCTGTCCTTTACCACGCGTTGCTGCACCACTGTAAGGGAGACATGCCACAGATCCTAAGTTAACACTCTTCAAGAGCAATGATAGTAGCTATCATCTACTGAATACCTCTAATGTGCCAGGCCTTGTTCTAGTACTTTATATTCAGGATCTCAAACCTTCATTACCACCCTGGATGGAAGGTATTATGATGTCACTTTGATTTCAGATGGAAAATCCAGGTTCAGCAAGGTGAAGTGACTTGCTAGAAGTCACTCAACTAGGAAGCGGCAGAGTTGGAATCTCAACAATTCTCCTGCCATGGCCAGGCTGCTCAGAGTCTGACAGAATCTCAGGACACACAGGCTCTACTCCTCTCTGTGTCACACTAGAAAGACAAGCCTCCCTTCTATGTGAATATGCTGAGATACCTCCTCCTACCACAGGTTGGGGAGCTATAAAAATCACTGGTGCCTGGGTCTTCTCTCTGAGAGAGTGATTTATTTGGTCTAAGTGTGGCCCAGGCAGCAGGACAGTTTAAAGCTCCATAGATAATTTCAACTCAACTGAGTCTGACAACCCCTACTGGCGCGGGTGCCTAGAGCTCACTCTGCCACCAAAGGAGTGAAGTTCTACAGCCCTTCCCCTTCTCTGAGCTTTGGTTTTCCCACCCTGTAAAGTGGGAGAGTTGGATTTCATCTCAAAGTTCAACCTTCTGATTCAGAACACCTCTGATCTTAACAAAGTAAACATAACCACAATGTACCAGGTTTATTCTGATGGCATACAGAACAGAACACAGTCTTAGGCTCCGTTTAAGGGCAACAGCTGGAAAGGTAAAGTGCAGAGCCAGTAAGCTATTGTGTTCTCTCTATGATCTAGCAATAAGCTATAAGCTTTTAAATTTGTTCTCCTTTCTAGCTATTTTAACAACTTGCACACCACTTACTAAAATCATTTAAAAAATAGTTTTGACTTTGACATTGCCACTTATGTTGTGCATCTGCTGAGTCTAGGAAGGGAGGAAATGGCCTCTGTGGGATGGAGGGGAGGCAGCTGCTAATAAGCTGAACTTTCTAAGGAACATGAAAAGGCTGTGCCAAAAGTCCTTGTTTTCAGAAAGACCTACAGGTCATCACTATTGCATGGTCAGGGGATGTCTTGGGAGAGGTCCTGGTCTGAGAGACTGCACACACACCCACACTGATGGTAGACTGTAAGATCAATGGCTCAAAAGTGATTAAAGCTCTTTCTACTGATGCTTGACTTGTGAGGAACATGGGTACAGAGCTGGGCAGACAGATCAGCCAGCAACACTTCTTCCCCCAACAATTATGGAGGTTGTTCAACTATCAAAAAAAAAAAGTAATAGCCCACCCACGGCTGTTAGCAAGCAAACAATCCATGTGCCGCATCTGACTTTGTCTCCTTTTGCTCAAAAAAATCATTCAGACCAGACCTCTAAAGGTTATCAGATTACCAGAACCACCTGGCCTCTCAGTGCAGTGAACTTCAGTATTGCGAATCAGTTCATCAGCTCAGAAAGATAAGCAACCCTCCAGTGAGATGGGCTGCCTGGGGCTGGCTAGGCAACACCGAACTGAGGTCAAATTTTGGCCTTTTTGCTGCCATTCAAACTGCAGGTGGGCAGTCTGTGGTACATCAGGCATGCTGGGGACAAACTCCCTGTGGCTTCCTGCTGGACCTGCATCATCTCCCTTGATGATATTCTGGAGCCACCCACACAAGTTTCCTGGGATATGGGGCAAACTCGGAACTTTGAATTGCATTAAATTCTGAATCATAAAACATTAGAGATGGAAGACAACTTCAGTTTTCCAAACATCTCTTCTCTTTTCTCTCCTGGGTTTTGTTTCCCATAATCTTTTAATTGATACTCTAAATGAGAAATGACAGAGCAAGAGTTCCAGAAAGAAAGGAGAACTAGTAATTTTTCAGTACCTATAGTAAACTCAATTTATTTAATTCTCCTAATAACTTTAAGAGATGCAAATAGATAGAAACTGTTATTCCTATTTCACAGATGCAAACAGGAATTTAGAGGGGCTGAATTACTTTTCCCAAGATACACCATCAGTAAGTTTTGAAATCAAGATTCAAACCCAAATGTGTGTGACCCAAAACATGCTTCCCTGGTCTTGTCTGCTGCCACCTGTGTCATGGTGGTGCTGGTGTGGTTGAAAACAGACAGAACTAACACACCTATGTTCTGTTTTTCTTTTGAGTTTCCCTCTGTACCTGCCAGTAACTCCTGTGTCAGCCCCCAACCAAGTCCACCACAGCCACCAGGGAAACCAGGATAAAACCACAGATTGGACTGGCTTTCTTGCCTGAGCTGATGCTTCCTCCAGCTTACCAGTGCATCATCACTAACATTAATTTCCCTAAAACACTGCTTTCCTTATTTTGCTACATGACTTCAGTAGTCTTTCAACTCTGTTTTTATGTCAACTCTCTGGAATTCTGAATGGTCTCTGTTTCCTGTCACATCAGTGATCTGACCTCTTCAGCCTGGCTTTAAAAGACCATGAGGATCTCATCTCCATCCTACCACCTTCCCTACTATGACCATCATTCTATGAGCTCCTGAATTTGCTCACCTTCTACTTCCAGTGCACAGCAACAGAAAGAGGTTGGGCTCTGAAACTGCCAGCCCTGGGTGTGGATCCTGTCTCTTTTGCCTACTGGCTGGTGAGCATGGGCCAGTCATTTTACTTGCCTGAGCCTTACTTTTTTTCAACTGTACAATAGGCAGATTGTCACCTAATTCACAGAGTTGTTTTGAGGGTTAAAGGATATATAAATAAATGTCAGAAGGACTACACACATCCAGAAAGTGCCAAATCCTTGCCCCCTGCTGCCTACCCTAGGTCTCTCTCTGCTCATGTCACACCCCTATCCAGTCCAGGAATGAATGCCTTCCCTTAAATTTTCTTGTCTTAAGCCAACTAATCTTTCAAGCTCCTATATAAAATTCAGGGAACATTCCTTAACTCCTCCAGGGAGTTCTGCATTTCTAGCTCCTCAGAATCTTTAGCACCAGGCTCAGCCCCTAGCAGCACATCTCAGGTGGGGAGGGATCAAGGCTCTAGATCTCTTGTCCCTAAAACACTGATGGGACTAATCTGAACACAAAGCAGTTAGAAGCTGATGGGTATATTTAATATGTCTTAATGGTACTGTTTTTCTGTTCTGATGAGCTGCTGTTTCTTGAAGAAGAAAATATTTTTGACATTTGCTTAAGTACAAGGTCAACTTTACAGCACAGAAAGAAATGGCCTTGGGGAAGACCAATTACAGGTATACACTTTGAGACAAGGGTTCCTGAGGTCAGCAAACTCAGGGTCACCTGGAGCAACGTGTACATATCACAACAGACTGGAAAGAACACTGTCCTGGGAACCACAAGATCTGGCTTCCAGTTTCTGCCTGCCTCTATTCTATATAATTGTAGATAAGTCTTTTCTATGGATCTGTTTCCTATCCATACAACATGTAAATTAGACTATTTAAACTTTAATGGTCTTTGCAGTTTTATGATTCAATGAGTTTTTGAAATAAAATATCTTAGACAAGAAAAGCAATGCACTTTATTGGAATCAGAAAGTCACTTGTGTGGCAAGCCCTATTCATGCAAACCATAGTAAGCTACTTGACCAAAATGTTAGCATTTATTTGTTAGGGATGTTATTAAAAATGGCGTCTGGTGGGATGCAACTTGATCAAAACATTTCTTTGAGAAACGCTCTGTGGGATAAAACCCATTTCCTAGTAGAAAATGGATCCCATTTCAGTACTCTAGTCTTGTAGAGATTAAGACCTCTGCTCACAAGAGAGAAGGAAAGATCAGAGAGAGCAGAGCCAAGAGCACTGAAGACCACTTCTGGGATGTGGGAACCACTGTTCTGGGAAACTGTCATCCATTTCTAGTTTGCTTCCTTTCTTCTCCCTAAATAAATCTCTTTGCCTGACTATAAGTTAGTTGTAAACACAAACCAGGTAAGTCTTATAGCAACATGCTATTAAAAAACAAAATAAGCATTTTCAATATTTTGTGTTCAATTACTGTGTAAAGATATTAAATGAGGTGTGAGAGACCCGTGTTCTGGAGGAGGAATGCTATTGTTGCAAAAGAGGGCCCCTGCAATGCTCTCAAACTGCCATAAGACTTCAAAGCAAGAGAGAAATAGATTTCTCTGGGAAGCCACTTTAAGAAAAACTCTCTGATCACTCCACAAGGTGGTCCTGACTAAAAGGAAATCAACAAACACAAAACAGTCCTCTTTTCTTTTATTTTCAATTGGGGAAGGTTCACTAAACTTAACACACAAAAAAGAGCTATGGCGGGCGAGATCAATTCCGTCCACCTTTCACAGATGAGGATTCTGAGGCCCAAAGAGGCAAAGAACCTTTCCAAGGTCACACAAGTAGGACAGAGGTAGAGTTATGCTACAAACTCAGGCTCTAGCCTGCCACTTCCACTCGGTCATGTCACCTCTCCTCGGCAAAGCTGACTTTTTTGCAAGCCTGTTGAGTAGAACGAGGAAAGTCCTGTGGACTGGGCCACCAGCCCTGGCCCTGCAGGGGAGGCTGTGCTCAGTGAAAGATGCAGAGAATGACAGCACACCCAAGACAGCCCACAACTGCAACAAGTTTCATTCCCTCAGCTTGACAATATTTGCTCTGGCTCAGGTTGGCCAGTTGCGGGGATATATCTGGACAAACCCAAATCAAACGACCTTTTCTTTCTCATGAACCCACCAGGGAACAATACCAGATAAACAGAGACCTTCTGAAGCATGAGGCAAGAAAAATGAACTGACACAGATGACTCTTTGGGGAGAAAGAGTGGTGATATCTGTAATGCATGCTGTGGGAGCAGAGAATATAACACTAAAGCTGGATTTTACCAGGACTAGACAAAGGGCTCTGACAGACTTCTTCAAAGATGAATTCATTTGGATGAAGGATGTCAGAACAGGTTCTTCTCCTGACCTGTGCTGTGTAAGTGTGGCTTTTAGATTTCTAAAGGCTATTCCATTATTTTTCATCCCTGTATCAATCCAATTATGACTAGTCCTTTAGTTTTCTTTTATGACTTGTTTTCAAGGTCATACAAGAAAATCCGAGTGATATGTGGCCCTAGCCTGTGGGGTTGGCATTGCTGAATACATAGCAGAAAGGCAGCTTAGGGACAGAGCGTGTCTTACCCCTGTCCCTGGCATCTAGCATGGGGCTGGGAAATAGATTTTGCAAATGGTGAATGAATACATATTGAGTTGGAATCTGTAAATAAGGTATTTTATTTCCACTTCACCTTATAAATTTAGGCATGTGGTTTCTCAGGAAGGTAGGACAAGTTTCACCAAACTATCATGGGAATCTTTAATCTTTCTTACTAATAAGCTATTTTAAAATGTCAGTTAGTTTTACAGTTGCTTTGGCCCCAAATTAAAAAAAAATTGAAAAAGAGAAAGTCCCAGCAAACCTATACTAGTTGTTACAACACAAACAGTCACTCAGGGCAAGGCCAGGAGGCTGATTGGTCAAAGTTGTGCTTTGGAAAGCTCCCACCATACTCTCCGTCTTTACTCTGACTAACAAACACTTGCAGGGAATGGATATTGAGCTTAAAACACTACCTTGCCATTGTCTAGGATATACTTGTCCATGACAGGCGCAGGAGCGGGGTAATAGGACGACGTATTTGCTTCCTCACTGAAAGTGCTCCGTAACTCCGGCTCTGGTTCGAGACATTCTGACTTTACTTTTTCCAAGTCAATGGCGGGACCTAGGCAGTTAAGAAAAGAGATCTGTCTAGAACTCCAAGGAAAATAAAAGACAAATATTTTTAACTACGCATCTATCAGCACATGGTGGCACAAAAAAAATTATGCTAGCTTATTTTTGTCTGTTGCACTACACTTAAACCCCAACTTGAAAATAATATGAGGTATGAATGTCACAAGGGAAAAGGTGGAAAATTGGAAGACAAGAATGGACTAGATTCTAATTAAGTATGAATGAAGAGCAGTCTTCTAGGGTATCATTGTTTACATGGAAAGGCAGGGGATTCAACTTCCTGAACAGCAAAGAGGTTCTATTCAGACTGCTTTGGAAGAGAAAGAATGGCAATTACTTGAAAATGCAAATTGCATACTTGCCCCAAACCCTATTCCTGTAGCCCACAGTGAAGAGGGCCACAGTGGAAGAAGGTAGGCAAGAAAACTGCATGAGGAGGTACAAAGACCTCCCCCACTCTAGGAACTAGTACTAGACTAGAACATTCCAACCAAGAAATTAAAATACAATACAGATTAAGCCCCTGATTGCTTGATCCAGCAGCTATTCTGATTTTTATTTTAATGCAATCAAGGCAAATTATGTGAGGTTTAAACAGTGAAAGGAAGCTAGATAAATGGTGGTGGCTTCTAAGGGTTTTTTTTTTTTTTTCATCCATCAGTTTTTAAAAATGATGGACTATTTTTTTTAAATCACCTATTGTATCTTGATTACCAAAGGGTAGAGAAACAGAATGAAAATGGGTAAACAAAACCAAATGACTTGATTGACGTTTGTGGAAGAACCACACCAAAAGCCAACATGCTAGAAATTCTCCCTATGCAAATATTTCAGGAATTGACTAGGATCAGGGACCTACATATGGCTGTGCGTATAACTTTGATAAATTCAGAGTCCAGCCTTCCCTTATCCTAACTGAGTTGACAAATGGGCATAAAGCTCCTTATATACTAAATCCTCCTGCATAAACAATCAGGTTGCAACTCTGTATTCAGTTGCCATATCCTAGACTTTGGTTGGTGCTAGAGGAGTGTTAGTGGTTTTGTTACTAAAATTTCTTCTGACAGGGCTTCCCAGAATGAGAATATCAATCCTGAATTGTTGGCAGCGGCCTCTTGCAAGATAGAATCTGTATAGTCTGTACAGATTTAAGCATGAAGTTTGCACACTGCTGAATGTAAGATGGCTAGGGAATGCAAGGTGCAGATGGAAGAGCTCACTTCATCTTGGTAGAGAGAATTCAGGTTGCATTCCTGGCTCAGCCTTGTTTGAACTGTTATCACAGGTAAATGAACTGCAGATGCAAAATCGGCAGAGTGAAGATCCAACAGTATAATCATTCTACTAGCATCTCTCAACCATTTCTGACCTATTCAAGGGCTGGGCCCACCTCTAATTTTTCCTTTTGTTGCGAGCATGTGCCTCAGAGTAGGTTCTCTCTAAATGTTTGCTACAGGAATAAAAGAATGGCAACAATGAATGAATAATTCTAAAATTTCAGAAACATGTGCCAATGTTTCCCCTTTGTACTTGACCTTGAGTTGAATCTCGGAGATACAAACAAGTAGAGTGTTTGATTTTTTTTCTCAGAACTGGACAAAGGTAATTACTTTAGTTTCCCCTAAAGCACATGGCTGAGTTGGTGTCTGAGGTCTCTCTGCTCTGATGTTCAGCGACAGGAAAAAGGAATAAGCTGAGATGAGGAGGTCTATGCTGCTGCTATCTTTCAGGTTATCTTTGGCAAAACAATTACCCTCTGAATCCTTCTTTTCCTTCTACTAGAGAAGGTTATTGAATAAAGGAAGGAATCTAGTCCACTTACAACTTGAATCTGGTTTTCTGCCATTTGTCTCCAAAATGGCTGCTAGGGAGATCTTCCATATGACCTGTCCTTCCTTGCTTAGGATCCCCACTCCCCTCAACAGTAAGTCCCACATGATGGCCCAGGACAACTGCCTTCTCTCAGCCTACAGGGCTCATGTCTTGCTCCTCACTGATATTCACTTTTGCTAAGATTTCCCAAGTGCTGTATTGTCTCAGGCCTCTGTGCTGCTGCCTGGGCCTTAAAGGCTTGCACATCTGTCTTGCCCAGTTCCTAGTCAGACTTGGGAACCACCCAGCTGCTCAGGTGTCTCCTTTGTGGGGTGTTGCTCTACAATAGAGGTTCCTACATTGTAAATACTAACAAATCGTATTTGATTCATCACCTTGTCTTTTTTTAAAGTTAGACTGTGAAGCTCTTTAAGAGCAAAGTTTTTCTCCCTTTGGGACCCAGGGCAGTGCCTGGAGCATGACAGACTCAAGAAATTCTTCATCGCATGGGAGGAGAGAGAGAGTTACTGGTGGTGGGGTCTTTAATGGGCTGGAGTAAAGATTCTGAAATAAAGCCCTGCTGCCAAGTGAGGATGCCTGGGGTCAGAGGTGGAAAACTCTTCTCTTGAACATCTATAATCTTTCTTGCAGCCCAAGAAGTAGAAATCAGAACTAAGTAGAAATCAGAAGCCTCTAGACAGGAGAGTGGACAGTCCAGATCTGGCTGCATGCCTTGTTGGTCCCCTCCCCATAGTGAGGCACCACTCTAGTCCAAGTGGCCTGTTTAACTCTCTCTAGACTCACACACCGTTCTTTCTCACCTGGAAGGCTTTGCTTGTACTTCGCCCTATCCACCTACCGAAGTTCCCCCAGTGATTCAAGGCCTGACATAAATGCCACCTCTACCACGAGGCTGTCCTGTCCCCTCCAACAGAAATAAGCAATTCCCTCCACCCCTTGGCTTAGGATTTGGGGCCAGAGCTGCTACTGGGGTTTAAGCACAGAGCTGGCCCCCCACTATTCAGGTGGCTGTGATTTCTTCAGGTGGTGGAGCTCCATGCTCCTTAGATTCTTCCTGCCCCATCCCTGTTCTGCCAGACTCATCAGATGCCCTCGTTTGTTCCTCTGTATGTCTCCCGACTACACTGTTGGGCTCAGGACAGGCACGAACTGTGTCTTTTTATGTCAGAGACCAGGGCTCACCTAGCACCTGGTTCAAATTCTGAGATACTTTACACATAAATAATTACTTAACCTTTCTGACCTTCTGGCCTTCCCTGAATGGAGGAATGACAACTGCATCTAGGTGGAAGTGAAAATTAAATGAGTAAAACACATAGATAAGGGGATTATCATAGAGTCTGGCACAGAGTAGGTGCTTGGTAAATCAGCCCCCACCATCCATTCCCATACACATTTCTGAGCTGGCTTTTGTCTCTGCTAAACTGTGGGCTGTGTAAGCCAAGGCCCCTGCTGGCCTGCTGTTGCCTCTGGTGCTTAGCCCAGCACAGAGCAGGTCCTTGCAATCCTCTGCCACCCCTCTCTCCTTTGCTCTTGCTAATCTCCTCAGGGACTGATGGCACTTTCTCAAATACTGTGGCTACTGCAGTGGGATCTCTGGCTCTCAAGGCAAACTATTTCCTAAACTATTTCAGTCAGCACTGTTTATGCCTGGGCCTTAGTGCCTGGTGGCCATTCTCTACAAGAACCTTTTCCTCCCAGAGCACTGTAAATGGAAGGTCCCTGGCGTGTCAGCCTCAGCAAGGAGGGCAGCTAGGAAGACCACCAAAGGCATATCTTGAAAGGGACCTTTCAATAGACCTGGTGTGACTACCTGCTGTGTGACCTCAGCTTCCCTGCTTGGCAGTGGGGATTACCCAGCACCAGTACAGACTCCAGGGGCCTCTGGAAGAGCCCAGGACTGCAGCAGGCACAGGCCAGGGGCTCAGTAAATGGCAGATGAGTGAAGGAATGAAAGGAACGAATCAGTCAATTAAGGCCTGGAGTTCAGCACCATAGAATCAGGAAGAAAAGGAACAAAAAAACATGTGGCTTCTTTGGGGAGAGGAGGGAGGGCCTCTAGTGCTTTTAATTTAAGGGAGGGGGGATTACTTCATTGTAGATTTTAGTGGGCTCCACTCCCTGATGTTGGCAATTTACATCTCATTACAACAAATGCTTCAGATTGCTGTTTTGCTTTAAAAAATTTCTGAGGCATTGTTCTCCCTCCAACACATGTGACCAAATTAGCCACAATAATAAGCACTTGCGTTAAGAGACAGCGTTGTATGAACTGGTGCAGATATTTTAGGTAACAAAGGAACTTTTTTTTACTTTGTGGGAAGAGTAGGAAAAAAAGAAAGCCCTTTTGATCCACTTGCATTCTGGTATTGACACACACTTGAAGTTTATTTTGGGGAAAATATACCTTCCATGGAGAGAAACCTCTCAGCTGAGTAAAGGAAGCTTTTAAAGGAGTATAAAAGGTAGTGCTTGTCTCTTCCCTCAATCATTCATGAACTCACTTATCATGCAATCTGATGGCACACCAGGATCTAGGCTCTGTAAGAAGCACTGGGGACTCAGGGACAAATCAAATAAGTCCCAGTTCTGGATAACTTCAGAATTTAACATGTGAAACGCTATTATTATTATATACAGATGGCTGTGATTTGATGGATGAGCAATGGATTTGGTGTCAGAAAAATACAGTACAAATCCTGATTCTGTAGCCTACAAACTTAACCTCTTTAACACAGTGGCTTTGCCCACAAAATGGGGATCATGGCACAGAGTAAGGGTATTAAATGTTTATTGGCTCAACAAAGAAATAAGATGACACACTTCTCTATTCTTGTTTAATCCTAAATTGGACTCATACAGTTCCTCTGAAAAGATTTTGAAAAAGTCACTGCTTGTGTGATTTGCAGGAGGTTTGGAAATCATCATTTCTTTGAAATATCTATATGTTTGGGCATTTCTGATTTCTTCTGAAATAGAAAGGTTAATGATAACCTTTAGAATGTTCTGTTATGTGATATTAGTGTGCCTTAAAAAGAATGATTAAATCCTTCTACTTCTGGAGGTTTTCTATTACAACTACTATTCTAGCTTCTTCAAAAATGTGAAATGAATGAAGTCAACTCTTAAATGCATAAAAAAATACAAAAATCCCTA